ATCAAGCCGCGATAGTTCGCGTCAGTACAGTTCGCAAAAGATGCATCCGCGTCAGCTATTCCTTGGGCGCGTCAGTATTGTGACTGGCGTCCGCCATAGCACAACAAATAAGAACAAAAGGTTAAAAAGGGTTTAGGCCACAGCTCATATAGCAACCTCTGTTCTCCCTATAGTGAATAAGTGCCCTTGATCCAGAACCTTTAATCTAAACCCTGACCCTTGGAAGGTGGACATCCAAGTCTCTGGCTTGGAGTTTAAGATTTAGGGGTTTAGGTTCAGGATTTAGACGAGAAGGACTGTAGAACTAGTGCTAGTGCGATCAGAAAAAAGATTAGGTTGAGGTACAAGCAAGCTGCAACAAGGAGTGTAGAAGTAGCGCTGGTGGTAGTACGCGCAGATCAGCAGAACGAGGTACAAGCAGTTGCAAAAAATTGTCTAGCAGGAGTGCTCCAGGATTTCGGTTCCGGTTTCGGTTTCGGCTGCTTGGCGGCCTGGTGTCGGTTCCTTTTCGGCTGCGGTTTCTGTTACGGTCCCAGCTGGTTCACGTTACAAGTCCGGAAAACTGGTTCCCATTACAGCCAAAATGCTTCCCTTTACGACCCGCACCCTTGGCGCTTCCAAGATGGGATTGGTTGCTGTCTGTCAACCGCTTTTTCTGACAAGGAGATACTGGCCTGCAAGTGGGACAGGCTCGGCGGTATTTGAATTCCGACCACGTGGGCTTGCCATGGCATCTGACACTTACGGAGACCATTTTGCCCTGCAGGTACCAGTCCGCGAAGGCTTGCAGTGTTGGAGCCAATCCGCGCATGAGTGAGTTGCAGAGCTTCACTGTCCAAATTCCTTGGCAGGCGGCTGTGCAGCTGCTAAGCCAGCACGGCGTCGGGCACCTGGGGGAGGAGTCTAACATATCGAGAGCAAAGCCAAGTGAGCATGTTCTGCCCGTGATGGTTTGTATTTGCCTTCAAGGTAGAGCTGAGCGCGGAGGACCAAGCACACCTTTCGGGCCTGGCTGATGCAGAGTTAGGGACTGAGAGCCTACTTCCAATCAAGAGGCTTTTCTGCTCCAAACAGCAAGAGCCGACTCCCTCCACATTTCAGTTTCGCCAAGCGGCTGCTTTTTTGGAGTTCCTGTCAAAAGTAACTGCCTTGCCGATCAAACGTCTGCCAGAGTGAAGAGATGTGTCTTCGAGGTTGATAGATGCTCTGGTTCAAAAGATCCCAGAGCAGTCCAGCGAACAGCTACTTGGGAAATGGCTTTTGGATTTGCTTTGCAGATGTGAGAACCATACTGCGATCTCAGAAATGCTGGGACATGCTACAATAAGGTTTCAGGCCTTTTTCCTGGAGCTTCAACTCGTTGTGCCAAGGGCTCAATAACGTGGAGTTTACCAGCTGGTAGGTGCTTTTGCTTTGAATGCGAAGTCTTAGCTGTGGGATCAAGGGTGGCACCCATGCCAGATTTTTGTTTCTGCTGGTTCTGGCAGGTCTGCCGCCCTGCGGATTCGAAAGGGCCTAGAGGCCCTTTGCCAGTGTCAGTCTACCCGACTTCATGGTTCCACAGTTCCTGTTCGTCCAAGGAAGCCAATCCGGATGAGGTTACACAAGCGTTAGATGACGTCGAGCTCTCTAATGTTGGGCCGCACGTTTCTCGGCAGATTTGCCATGCTTCGGCTTCGTTTCAGCACTCCATGAGCCTGAGCAGGAATGCCAAGTAACTTGCCCCAACCTGAGGTCATGAAAATGGCTGTCGTTCAGGCTCGCAACGCTCGCGTGGTATCAGGTGTAGGCCGTGCAAGCAAGTCTCCCATCAGGCCGGCGAGGATGTTATGAGTCTTGGGTTGCAGAATAAGGCCTGGATCCAGGCCGGAAACATTGTGACTTTAGTAGGCTTTGTCTGATAAGCTTCACGTGGCAGGAGTCGCAGCAGAAACTCTCCATGTTGGTCAGAGGCTGGGTCTGCAAGGGATATGTCTCCGTCGGAGCGAGCTGTCTTGACCAATTGACCAGGGCAGGAGGAAGCAATGGCTGCAAAAAAGAAGCTTGCTGCCGCCAATGCTATCCTGCACAATCAAACTGTGTCTCAGAATGAAAAGGTGGGACTGCATGTGCGAGCTTGACAGAAAGATTGCTAGTAGTTTTCACTCGGTGGCAAGGCCAAGAAGGCTATAGCAGCCTTTTTGGGTGGAAGCACTACTGCGCTGCTCAAGAGCCTTGGCTGTGACAACTGCGTTCTCTTTCTTTCTCTTGTCTCTCTCTCTCTCTCTCTCTCACTCTCTCTCTCTCTCTCTCTCTCTCTCTGTACCTCCCCACCCCCACCTCGGACACAAGTTTATTGAATCGAATCGAACCTTGTGCTTGCAAAGATCTTGTGCTTGCAAGAGCCGCAGCAATCCTTGCCAGGAGCATTCTTGCATCCTGGCTCTGCATCATGAGACGCAGCTTGCCTGAATTCCGTGGGATGTGCCGCTCCCCGCGCTTCTTGGATAGAGGATAGAGCCTGCTGCGTGCTGGCTTGCAGGTGAGAAAACGGAGGGCAATGTGCTGCTTGTCAGCACCGAGAGCCTGACAACTCATTCATGGTCTTGTGCCGCTAACTTCTGTTCGCACATGCTTTTAAGCCTTTGCTGCCACATGCTTTTAAGCCTTTGCTGCCTCGTGAGTCCGCACAGGCACCGTGACTACCAAGACCGGCTAGAAAGGACAAGTCCAATCAATGAGCTAGTTCAGCTGGCACCTGCCTGCGTATTTCCGAGGGGCTTGTAGCAGGAACTCATTGGTTGCTTTGTCTTAGACTGTTAGACGATGCGAGGATGCAGCAGCACCTGGGAAAGTGCAAGTACGATCAGCTAGCAATGGTGCGCTCAATGTTCATGTGCCTTGTCTGCAAAGGGTATCCGCCGTATGCCTGCGGTGTTGCTTTGGGTGACCTTGGTTTTTTCAGGCGCAAGAGCGAAGCCGGCATCCTGCAGCTCAAGCGCGAGCTCTTCGCCACCTGGAGGGAAGAGGCGAAAGCATCTTCCCACATTTCCCACGTGTGAACATCCGTGAATTGAATGTGGGATTTGGAGCAAAGTGCCAGGTGGAAGAGTACAAGATTGACAAGGATGTCTGGCATGAGGTCAAGCGACCGGGCTCTAATAAGCGTGTTGCTTTGGGAGCTTACTGTGCGCACGCTGCCTGTTATGTTGGAAGCTCCAGGAAAGTGGAGAAACAGCTACACACTCTGAAAGAGAAACAGGCACGGACCGTTGATGTTGTTTTGAATCTCGGTTTGTCCCTCCCCAGCCAGTGTGGAGACAGACTCCCGAGCCCTCACCAAGGCTGGGCGGATGAAGCACGTTGTTGAATCAGTGACGGTCACCCTGGCTTCTACGTCTTTCGGGGGAGTTCCACGCTCAGCTTTGTAAGTGGCCATTGCCTTGCTGTGGGCGCCAGGTCGAGTCTTGCACCGGCCTGATCACAGCTTGCCTCAGGGCATGGCAGGGGGAGGCCCAGTGCCTACGTTGCAGGATCCTGCTGTTTGCATTTCTTTCAGCACCCAGGTCGGCAGCAAGCATAAGGCTCGCAGATGTGAGCAGTGATGCGCATGATGTGCTGGTACAGTTTTCTTCCAGTGAGCACAGAATCCCTGGGCAGATCATGGGAGACCGTTCCATGTTTCCGGCTGTTGATGGACCATCACATGGTGCCCAGCTGCACAGGAGGTGGAGCTACAGCAATGGCTGGTGGCTACGCGGAAAAAGATAGTTCAGCTAAAGGAGGCCAGTGTGCAGGGTCTGAGCAAATGGGCCCCCACCAGCAAGTCAGCAGAGAGACATTTTGGAAGAGATTTGTGGCAGGCGAACCGAAAGCTGACGCGCACCACATGCTCACGACTGTCGGATCAATTTGATGTTGGATTGCATCTCGCCTTGGGCAGCAAGATCCTGAGAGCCAAGCAGCCAAGCTCTGCTGTCCCATTTGAGGCTCAGCATCGCGATGCGCTCGTGGGTCCAGACACTGCAGGATGCAGCTGCCAAAGCCGCGCTTAGCTTTCGTCACGTCATTTCTCTTCATCACGCTCGAAGTGTGCAGGAGTCCAAACAAAGCAGCGGCATGGCCGAGAGCCTGTCTTCTGTTCAGGGCAAGCTCTCGTCCTTTGGGGCACGGGGCTCAGGAGGAAGTAGCCGGGCTAGGATCATCACTTGCAAGCATGTGGAGAAGCAACTTGTGGGTTTCAATCCTGACGGCAGCTCGTGAGGCAAGGAACGCCGTGTCCGCTTGGAAGTGCATGCAGCAGGCCACGGCTGTGCAGCAAAAGCACAGGAAACATGCAAGAGCTGTGTGGTAGGCGGCAGAATACCACGACGAGCTCCTCACCCTTAGGCCCGGTTTGGTTGTTGAGATGCGCAAGCTGGAGATCTGAGAGCCACACGGTGAGGTGCTTCCATGCCTGGCGATTGGATCAGACAATGTGGGATGCTGAAGATAGAGCATGCTGCAGTCCAGCACCGACGTTGAATTCCATCAGATGCTTGCGCCAGTCAGGTCCATGATTGCTTCGCAACATGGAGCAGTCATTGAGGGCAAGCGAGCGCAGTTGCAGAATGTTGCGTGCCCAGTGCTTCAGACCTGCTGGAGATGCTCCTGGTCCCGTGCCAGGTAGCCACCCCTACCCTGATACTCAGGTGCAGTTCATGTTCCGCAATTTTGCCTTGAAGCTGGAAGCGGAGGCGCAGGAAATGAAGATTCTTGGACCCTATCTAGGCTTCTAATATCGAGCACTTATGATTCCAAGGCTTTTTTCAGCAACAATCTCACGGTTTTTGGCTGCAATATGTCCTGTGCAGCTCAGGAAGCATAGCTGGAAGCGGGAGAGGCCCTCCATTGAAAGAGTTACGTAACGTCAGTGCTGTGTGCCATGCAAGATGCAGGGCAAAGTGTGCTCGTTTAGACTGCTGTTGGGGAGCTCTGCCCTTCAGACCTGGGCTTCAGAAATGTGTTACGATTTGAGCCTGGCTGCGCAGGCGGATACACAGCAAGGGCGAACATACGGTGTCCCTGCCGGATATCCATGCTCGTCCTGGTGCCCAACATGGACAGCAGTTCCCCACTTCGAGATTCCCAGTGTCTGGAAAACCCTTGTCATCGCCTTTGGAATCAGCAGATTTGTGTGCGCAGCAGGACTCAGCGAGCCAAAGGGCGCAGGCGATCAGCTCGGGAACTGTTTATGGAAGTCAAGTTTAGACTGAAATCCGCGAGGCGAGAAAGCTGCGATGACATGGACAGGCTGAAGGCTGAAGGCTCGAACCTCGTAAGCAGATGTGAGCAACAACCGCTTCAAAATGTGGAACGCTACAGCTCCACAAGCTGACAGGTACTTTGACCTCCTTGCCCCTAGCGTCAAGTGTCTGGAGCGTGGCATGTAATTCGCGCAGCGTTAAAACAGCTGAATTTAGCACTGCACTGTCCAGGACTGGATGTGCAGCCTTTTTGCATGTGCCCGCATGCAATCTTAGCGATATTAGTTCCCTGCGCGGTCCGTGGTTGACAGACCTTCCCGTCTCACTAATTTGCGTTTCACACTCCCCAGTTCTTCGCTGCTGCTGACGCTGAGCACGAATTTCAAAAATCAAAGTCCTGCTGCAGCGAAGTCTGCGGTGAAAGGCATTGTGTGCAAGTCCGCGAGGACGCACGGCCAAGCAATAGCCCCTTTGAGAACATGCCTGGGTGACCCTTAGGGCTCTTAGTTTTCCCAAAATGGGATCTCCAAACGCGGTGCGCGTCACCAAGCCGGACATCACCCTGACCAGCAAGCAAGCTGTGAAAATGAACGTTGAGTGAAGCTGTTCTTGATTCTTCTTTGCAATGCTTCTTGCCTTGAACGACAGGCAAGAGATCGTCCAGCCCAGGCCCCTGCCACCTCCCCAGTCAATCCAGCCTGGCCCGGGCGCAAAGGGTCTCGCCAAGGTCTGCGCGTCAAGTCTGCCATCCGAGTGCGACAGCCAGTGAGCCACAGGCAGGGTTGCTTCAGTGCTTCTGCAGTTGCTGTGGCAATAGACTTTTCGTTTGCAGGTCCAAGTGCGCGTTCGTGCTGCGCCTGGTAAGTCAGGGTTGGACTCCTCTTGTGCATGTGCATGTGAACAGAGAAGCACATGTGCTGCTTCTGTAGGGTGGGACGGACGGACATGCTCACTGTGGCAAGTTCATCAGCCTTTCGGCTAACAGGGTTTGAACACAGCCTTCCTAGCCACCAGCTTGGTGCTGCCGCGTGCTTCACTATGCAGCCGGCCAAGAAGGCCCAAATGCCTTTTGTCTATTTCTCTATGGGCTGGTAGCTTGGCTCCGCACCGGCAAGGCAAGGCTGAACCAAAGCACGGTCAAAGCCCCCAAGCTCGAATCTTGTGCTGCAAGATATTGTGTCAGCCTTTTTCATCTTGTCTGCGGGGGCAGCAAAGAAAGTGTGGTGAAGTGAGAAGCATCTCCCAGCCCAGGCAGTCGTGGAGCCAAAGCTAACCCTAATTCAGTTAAGCACGGAGGCACCAGCAGAGCCCCATTCAAATTGTACTTGGTCGGGTGATTGTCAGTACTTCCATTACTTGCAGGTTGAAATGGCCAGGTTCAAGATGCATTTGTCCGTATGCTGTAGGTTGGCATGCAGCATGTGCAACCCAAGGTGAAAGTTGCAACCTGCAACCTCAACCAGTGGGCCATGGAGTCGCGACCTGCAGTTAGGCAGAGCAGGAATATTACTGTTCAAGCTGCTTGTTGAACCTGTACACCCGGTGTTGTGTACTCACACAACTTGAAAACCCTTGCAACATGCAGCCCCGTTGTTCAAGGACTTCAAAGGCAACCTGGAGCGTGTCAAAGCATCCATCAAGGAGTCGCCTTAAAACTGATTGCACGATAAACCACCCAGTCTCGGCACAGGATGTGCTGAGGCCTGTATGGTGCTTTGAACAACTTCGCACAGTACTGGTAACGCAACGCGAACGGTGAGAGCGGAATGTCAGGACGCAAAAGCCCAAGGCTGCACCTTCCGAACGGGCCCAGAGCTAGAGATCACTGGCTACGGCTGCGAGGACACAGAAGCCATGTGTAGAATGAGTAGTTTCAGTAGCCACTGAACAGCAACCCACACGGACGAGCCCTGTGAAGGATCACTTTCTCGAAAATGACACCTTCCTGTAGCTCAGCTGTCTTTTGCAGCTGTCTCTGCCTTGTGCTTCGACAGAGATCAGGCACGCCTGGTCTTCCATGGCTGAGTTGCTGCGGACGGACTTGACAGATGGAATTCTCTGTGACATTGGGATGCCGGCTCCCAAACTGCACCAAGTGGATGACCAGAAGTCACTTGGGACTCCTTCAGCGGTCCCCTGCTTCTAGCTAGCTGAACATGCAAGCTGCATAAGGTGATGCACAGAAATGTTCCCTACAACTGTCGTGTTTGGGTTGTCAACAGCATCTGGGATGGCGTTTGGCAGTCCGGTAAGCCGCAAGTAAGCAACTTTGTGCAGTAGCATTTTGTCTACAGTGGAGCTGACTCGCGTGCCCACAGCCTCAGGAAGTATTGTGGGAATTAGACCCAAGATATTTCTGGCAAATGATGGAAACTATCGCGAGATGCGATGGTTCACACCCTGGCACATCGACCCGAGCAATCCAGGCGCCTTGCAATATTTGGTTTTCTTGCTCGCGTGCAGGATTGCTGTGTTGATTGGCGTTGGCTAGTGACTGCCCCACAGGATTCGGTGAGCTAGAGGAGTACTTTCTTCCTCGAGAGATTGCTGAGATAACTGGGACGGCCAAAGTTCCTTTCGGAAACTCACTGGCAAACAGCGAGTCGCCAGTATCTACAAGCTACCTTGCTTGTTGACTTGACCCCTGAGGCATTTTTGCAGTGTCTACTAAAGACACTTGCTTGGCAACGGAGACTTGCGAAGAGCTCTTCACACCGGACGCGCCGCACATAAAACTGGCTCTCGATGGTGCCTTGGCTTGGCGACGTGCGGTGCTGTGAGTCCAACCCCAGTCGTCACAGCAGCCTGCACCCTCTTGGCTGAGGTGTGGAGATTATTGCAAATGGTTCCGGCAGCCACCATCAGCTGAGGCCGTGGTCAAACAGCCTTTCAGTGGGATGTGGACAAAGGGGCAAACGATAAACTTGAGCTCCCTACAGGAAGCTGGACAAGCGAATTGACCTCGTGCGGGGAGCCACATCAAAGAGTGGCGGTGTGCAGCTGGGGCTTGCAAGGTACTATAGTAACTAGAGGACGATAGTCACTCCAACCTGCCTGTAGAGGCCTCAACTGCAGAAGACACCCCAGACTGAAGGTACCTTTATGCCAACGTGAAGGGCTGCGATGGAGGACCTCGCTGATGCATGTGTGAGCATATCGGAGCATGCTACTGAGTCGGGGTGGTTGACAGGCCGACTTTATTTCGATGGCTGCTGTATGGTGTGGAGCAACGGCAAGCTGCTGGCACAAGGAACTCAGTTCGGCATGTTAGACGAGATAGAAGTCGTGGCTGCTTGGCTTCCTATGCAAGTTTGCCCAGTTGCCAGTCAAGTTTCCTTGCGATCCATTGCAGCTTCCGAGTGATCAGCATGGGCTTTGTCATTGAAATCCATTCGTTTCGTCAGGTTGCGACAGTCAACCTCAATGATGTCCGCTCAATGCGTTCCAACTTCATTGCGCGCTCCTATCAAGCGTCTTCAACGCCGACAGTGCACCGGATTGAGGCAGGAGCCTTGCTGTGGAAAACCTCTGTGTTTTCAACCTGCCAGTGTGGAGAACTTTGCCATGGATTCCAGGTAGATTTTAGCTTGGGGCACCCGGATCCCCTGTCGATCTCTGAATCGCAGCCGATCGAGTCGCTTCGCTTTAAACCCACGCTTCAACGTGCTCGTGCTACATTTCCACAGCCTCAGGCCAAAGATTGAGGGTCCCATGGAAGAGATCGCGTATGGCCCATCAGCTTGGCGACATGGTGCAAGCAAGCTCTAGTTTGTTTGTGTGGCTGCAAACCATGACATTCGAGGCTCTGGGACTATTTGCGGCGATCGGGGCAGCGAGGATATTTCCTGCCGCTCTCGGGTGGGGCAGACTCATCTTCCACAGCAGCGCTCCTTGTCAACATACTTTCAGTTTGCATCTTGCTTGCTTCGTGCTCGGCCGTGGACTGCATGCTTGAGGCTGGTTGGGATCATGTGCGGGCTCCTAGACATGGCGTGCGATGGTATCTTGCGCCGATCATTGTGATGATCCCTCCATCCAGGTGTCAGCGTGTATATCGTGAGTTGACAGAGGGTACAGAAAGGTGGGCGGGTTGAATTGCTGTTGAGGAGTCATCCTGCTCGAGAGCCCTGCAGGTCCAAGGCTCTTGTGCTCGCGGATATCCGGAAGGTGACGAGGCGGCCCTTCTACACGCCACCCTCCTGGCAGGTGGGTGTCTATATTCTCTTTGACGTGTCCTTGTGCATTGATGTCCTGTGTGAGGATCTGTGTGGCAAGATCTTTGTGACATGCTACATGGCTTCAGCAACTCGTCACAAAGTTCCAGCTGTTGGGGGTTGGCCTATGAGGGTGAAATGATATCCCGTTGCAGGAGCACAGCGGATCTGAGACGCGGTCACGAGCAGAGAATCTGGCAAAGCAGATTGGTGCAAACCACACCTCTATCGCTTCTCGGCCCTCGCCAGTGCTCATTCCCTGCACGAGCCCAACGCATCTAGGTGACTGGTCACTCAGGCAATTCGGCCGATAACCGACGCGATTGTAAAGGTGTTCCAGCAATGTGACTCGACTCTTCTACGCTGAGCTATGTTATGTCCAGTGTGTTTCAGTTTGCACGAGGTCAGTTTGAGTCTGACAGGATCGACAAGTCGAAGGCAGGAAGACTGTAGACAGACAGAACGATGGAAGTGGTGAAGCTTCCTGTCAGGTGAGGGCGGATGCCACCTGGAATGCAAGTGGCACAGAAGACATTGCCCTACAGAACATTCAAGCCCGGAGCCGCATCTGGGCGTGTTCAGTGTATGAGAGCTTGAGCTCTGCACTCTCCAGACTCCAGAGTTTCTGGGTTTCATGTCCATTTGGAATTTTGGTTTGAAGTAGTTCCCCTCTTTTCGCCATACAAAGATACGCGAGGCCCTTTTCACTTTTCTGGGAGGCAGAGCGCAAGGCTCTTGAAGCCAAAAGCAAAGTAACCGGATGTCGCCTCCAAATCCATAAGCTCTGGTTTGGCCAATGTTTGTGCCATGTTCTGAAGACAGAGATCTCGCGACTTTTGAGGCTGACTACACTTTGAAGAGCTAGGTGGGTTGAAGGGTTCTGCCGATTCCAAGGCATGGTCATGGCCTACTTCATGGCACAGCTTATGCCGTGGGCGACGGACAAGGTGCCCATGTCTGGCTCAAGAGAAATTCTGCTTTGTCACCGTGTGAGCTATAGTCTAAACTTATAGGGGTATATAGGGGATTATGTCAGGGACTCCCCAGGGGATATTAAGGGGGATACTAGGAGTTTAGACTAGGGCTCTTGTGATCTTTTGGGAGGCGATGAAGGGCGAAGCTGGGCCTGGCTGGGGATCCCTTCTGGTCCTGGGTTTCCTGGTGCGAGTAAGACTTTCGAGGCACTCTGCCATAGTTTGTGATAGATTTTCTGCAGAGGCTCTGCAAACGTGGACGAAGCCCTGCGCGGATATTACACCAAATATGACTGCAGCGCTGCAGACGTCAATCCAATTGGTGGTCATGTGCTCAGATGCGTTGGGAAGACACGGGGCATTTTAATCACGTGGCATCTCGACGCAATCCGTAAAGCTGCTTTGCAACTTCACCCAAGGAATCAACAAGCGAGATCTGAAGGCCTTCTTGTTATGGGCTGCGAAAGAGCGAGGGATCGGTGACTGGACTTGAGATCAGAAGCTCAGGTTTGGTCGTTTCATGCAGGTCTGCCCGAATGAAGGAATTCAGGGCAGTCAATGAGCATTTCCGGAGACATGCTGAGGAGAGCTGGAAAGAGTAGCGAACGCAGTCCCCACAGCTGAGCTACGGCCTGACAAGGCTTGGTTGCTGTTTGGACTGCTGTCCCTGTCACATGCGGGGAGTTCGATCGTGCTCACAGCGTAGGGCGAGCAATGGCCCAGTTCAAGTTCAAGCATGCTATGGCAGTAGTCTGAACCCTAGGGAAGAATGCCACGAAAACTCGGAGGCAGAAACCAACCCTGAGAAAAGGATTCTTTGCTAGCCTTGTGTCTCCTGTGCCATGGGCCGCTCGCATACTGTAGCCACTTGGCTTTCGTGCGCAGTTCTTGGCTTTGGTGCGGCGTGGCTCCAGCCACTGGTGTGCTTCAGAACCCGCCATAGAACTCACCATGTCCGAGTACAGTTGCGGGCTGTTGGGGAAGCAGAAGTGGACACAGAGGACATACTCGTGGCGCTGGGCAGGAACCTCTGGGCAGCAGGAGATGAGCTGTTGGAGGTCAGCGCTGCCCTGTCAGGTCTTATCCCAAATTCTGACAATCGGAAGTTTTCGCCGCTAGGGCTTGGTGCGGCAGCTTTGGCACTGCGGAATGCAGCAGACAACATGCTGGATGATGACTGGGAAAATGCCATGGGAGAGCTTGAGGTTGCCTCGGTTTCCTGCGAGGGCTACCTACCCTCGGCACTGATGCAGGGCCTAGTTGATCTTTTTTCGTACGAGGTGCTGAGGGGCTTAAGGCTTAAGCACAGTCAGTTCTTTGCTTCGTGTGACGGGTGTTTCCTTTGTTTGCTCCGGACACCCTGCGCCAGGAGCCCATTCCAGAGTGCGAGTGGTCCTCTGCCAGGCAGTCTCTGCGAGGCTTGTCCAGGAATCTGAGGAGCGTTGCCGAGCGGATAGGTGAGTTCTCAACACCGTTAGCCGAATCTTTGCGTTATGCGGCTGACCGGCTACGGCGGGCCGGTAAGCTCTTCGTGGCTGGTGGCTTCCAGATGCCTGTGGATCCGCGATTCTCACGCGGAGAGCGAGGTGAATGGTCAGACCAGCAGAACTTCAACAACTTCTACTCTGGCTGGGCTTCGCCAAGCCCAGATGCGCAGCTTACAGATGAAGCACCGCCAGGAACGCCAGCTGCAAAGTTGGTTGAAAGCATCAAGTTGGAGTTGGAAGATGCCACTGCGGGTGGCCCCAAAGAGCGACGCTCGCTTCTCCGCCAGCTGGTGAGGCGCCTGCACCCAGATCAAAATCCAGGAAAGGAGGCTGAAGTGATGCCTGCTTTTCGGTACATCCAGCGGCTACGTTCTATTGAGGCCGACCAGCGGCGATAGCTGCAAACCGCCAAGTAAAAAAAAAAAACAAGAGAGCAAGCAGAAATGATTCGCTTCAATGGAAGCTTTTTGCTTGCTTATGGATGTGCCGGCATCAGCGGGATCATAGCGCAGCTAAGATCTTGTCACAACAAGGGCTTAGTCTGACAGCCTCCTGTGCCAGATCGAAGGGGGCAAGAAAGTTGAGGAACAGAGCGATGAGAAAGATATGGGCATGTCCTATGATGCTTTGAAGCATGTAAGCTTGAAATAATTCATGTCTCATTGTTGGCCAATCTGAGGATGAGCTGGGAGACCTGGGGCATTTGCGCAAGGCCTGCTTTTTATTGAAGCGCATCTGCGGAATTTGGGGGTGAGCAAATCCAGGTGGAGAAGTGTGGCCCGCTTACTACATTCTTGAAGCTGCGGCAACTCTGGTCCCACAAGACGGCGGATTGGACGGGACCTCAGGACAGGCATCACGTCTCCGAAGGGCCACCCCAGTTGCACATGAACGCCTGGGAGGACAACGACAAAGCCATCACACCTTCCATCAGAGTCAAAGAGCAGCCGAAGACTTTTGATGAGAAGGTTGCGCAGAAGGCGAGCCCAACGAGCTCCTGCTCGCCCATGTGCATCCAGGTATGACTTGCCATGAAATGATAGCTGCATTTGCAGGTCAAAGACTTCTACTTCTACAACGCAATCAACAGGCATAAAATGACGACACTGACTCCCTCCTACCATGCCGAGAATTATTCTCCTGATGATAATCGTGACTTGGGTTGAGTTTGAAGGGCAGTCACAGGGCCGCCTGAAGCCTTGCTTTCGCAGGTGACCACAGGCGTAACGCAGTCAACATCAACTGCACTGTCTGAGGATTTGATTTGCGCCCTTTTCTCTTCCCCGCCACTTTCGAAGCGCAGTTTGAAGCTATCGATGAGGTAGTGAAAGCCTGCAAGAAGGATTAAGCTTTCTTGCGACGTGTTGCCGCGAGGGAGTGCTTTTTGAGCACGCTTTGCACAAAGGTCCTCACTGTCTTCTCCTTTACAGGAGCAAGGCTGTTAGTTTTCACCGCCCAATCCAGGAACTGCCTGGGCCCATAATGTTTGAGCACCATCAACGGTGCGTTAGGGGCGAGGATCTCCCCGATGGAATCGATTCCAGGATCATTTGCCAGCAAAGGGTGAGTGAGGAGGTGAGCAGAGAGGAGGTGAGCTTGGGAAGACTAAGGTGCTCCGCAGTCAGCCCGAACCTGGAGAGGTCCTGCGTATGCAGCTCAGTGCATCCGCCCAGCTCATTTCCTCCCTGAGAGGGTCGCGTCGCACCCCAAGGCCTTTTGCTGTTGCAGAGCCTCCGGCTTGTGCGCACCTCTGTGATTTCGTGTAATCTGGTTTGCAAGGACCCAGTTAGCAACATGACGTGATTGACGTGCGTTGTTTAAGCATTGAAGGCGCTGTTCGAACCGCCCCGGTTCGGCAACAAACAATGTGTGAGGCTCAGCTGGATGAGAGCACGGGACCCTTGGCACAGCCACCACTTTTGAGTTGGGATGACTCGGAATTGCTTTTCGCCTTTTCTGCAGAAGCTAGACATGCGACACGCTCGAATCAATACATGCGCCGACTCAAAGTTGGAAATTCGCTCCTGCAACAAGAACGGACACGCGGGCAGGACAGGTGCATCAGATAGCTTGCACGACAACTCCTCGACTTTGTCATCACGTGAGGCCTGTGCTGTCACGCTGGGCCCCAAGGGCACCCCCAGCGCCAACGGCACCAACAGCGCCAGGCAGCTCGGCAACAATCGCATTTGCCTCGGCTAATGTAGGGCCAATGTAAGGCATTTGTTGTACCAGCTGATCCCTACAATTCTGCTCAGTACTTGAATTGCTGTCTATCTCATCAGCTGGCTCTTGAACGCGCGCGCGCCAGGTTCACTTGAGTGGAAGCACTGGACGTCGGAGACGTCGCTCAGTAACGAGTTAGACTCTCGCTATCCAGTGACACTGCAGCGGCCCCAGACACGATGCGCACAAGGTGGGACGGTAACAGAGCATTGTCCTCGAGATTGCTAGTGCTGAAGGCTAGTGAACGACATCGTGTCAGAGCTTCTCGATGCGCCTCCACAGCCACTGACGGCTCCTGAGCTCAGGACAGGCCTTGGGTCAGAGAAAAAGGCATCAAGCAGTGACCAGCCCTGCAGGAAAGACCTGAAGCCTCGACTTGTGACCGTGATTCTGGACTCAATTGCTGCGGAAGGCTTCATGGACACCCACAGCGGAAGGATTGCATTGTGGTACGCTTACCTGGTACTGCTCCTCATTGCCTGTCAGGGCTGCAGATGCCCGGTGGGTGTCCGACTTAGATTGAGCACTTACGCAGTGAATATGGACTTTCGGTGTGTTCTAGTAGTTTTCCTGCATCTCGGAAGGCTTGTTTCTGTGTGCCCAAACCCATGCCCTGACCACACAGTGCTCAACAGACAAATGGTTAACTCTGGTATTGACAGCCAGCGGGTGAGGTCAGGCAGAGTGGCCAGTGCCAGGGCCCCAGCCTTGGCGAATGCAAGGTCTTCCTTTTTATCAGCTGCGGCTTTGTGGGTCAGGAGCGTGCGATGCTGGCAGTGGCCTTTCACAACTCCGAGGCGGCAGCATGCACATGCCATATCCCAATCTACCGTAACCTAGCCGCCTGTCTCCAGGCTTGGCAGCAGTTCTGCGGTGCAGCAAGGCAGCTGGTTGTGGTTCTGATGCACGCCCTGATTCGGAAGAATGTCTGGGGGTACCAGTGATCTACGTCAGTGCTACAGCAGGCGTCAATGCTCGGCATGTGGGGTTCCTCACTACCTGGCGGCTACGGGCTCAGTTGTGGCCACAATTCCCCTTCTTGCCTCGTGTTCATGACGTGGCCTTGAACCGGGATGCAAAGTGCAGTGTTAGGCACGCATCCTCGAAGCCCTCAGATCTTTTCTTGGCCTGCCCAAGCTATCAGAGGACCATCAGGGTGCAACCTTGTAGCTTCGTTCGCCTTCAAGAGAAGAAGGACTGCGACAGCGATGGCTGGGCGCCTCCGACAGTGGCTAAGAATCTTTGCAAGCTGACAAGCTGTTGCAATTGTGGAGCAGCCTTTTGGCAAGGCCTGAGCAGCCTCTGCACCATATTGACGATGTGCCTCCGCTCTTGTCCACACGCGGACGCTGGCAGGAGGCCTTGTCTGCTGGGTGAGGGCCTGCCAGGGTTGGGATTTCGTCGCCAGGAAGAGCTCCCCGCAGCGTTTCTCCATCTCAGTGACAGTCTCCAGGCTCAGGGACTTCTTCGCTCTTCTGCTTTCTCACGCTTCTAGACCAAGCCTGCAGTGTGGCATGGGCAGGAGCCAACAACGCTTCAGCAGAAACTGGAAGTTAGGGGGCCTTCCATGGTCAAAGCCTTAGGCAGGCTGTCTCCTTTTTCTGGATGCCGAAGGTGTTTGAATCATTAGGCGTCGGACCCTTCGGACCTACCCTGGCTGCAGCCGCTGCAGCCTCTCAGTGTAGAGCTGGGGCTTCAGACTGCAGAGATTCCAGGCAACACCTAATCAGTATAGGGTTATATAACAACATTACCCCACATAATGGAGATTCAAAAAACACTGAGCATGAACTGGACTTGCTCGTGATAGTGGAAGCCCAGGCCACACGGGCCTGACGATGCGAGTGCGGGAAGCACGTGGAGTGCTGCGGACGTGCCCTGGATCCTTTCAGAGTTGTTTGTGAGACATCTCCAGTGCTTTGCAGAGAAAGAAAAGGCGGGGAGCATCTATCAAATGTGACTGCCCTAGGCCGTATTGCAACTGCCTGGACCTAAGGAGTAATTGCTGGGCAGATCATTGTTGCATCCAGTTAAAGTGAGCTCAAAGTCTAACCATGTAGAGTTCGATATTTAGCCCCAAGCAGTGGAGTCTTTTTTTGCAGTCTGCTAGGACCTAGCAGCTACAGTACGTACCAAATGCTAGATCGCGTTTATGGGTTCCTCCTTTTGCTGTCCAAAGTTACCAGTTGTTGGGATGCTGACTAAATACCCGATTCAAGGGGGCCATTCACTAATGTTTGTTTGAATCGGTCCAAACCAGCGACACTTCGGAGGATTGCGAATTTGAGCGCCGCACCCATGCGCTAAAACCTCAAGCTTTCTGTAAACCCAGCCCGCCCGCGTGCTTTCCGTGTTGAGCTTTGGGGTCCTGATCATTCGCCCCTGCCCTTGCGATGGGTACACATTCCATGTCGGGCTACTTCCAAGACCAGCCATCAGACACGATTGCTTGCACAGGCAAGTTCCAGTGCGTTCTGTAATTCTACCCTTCAGGCCTGGCGTGCGTGCCCGCAGCAGTGACTCGACGAGGCCCCAGACAGCTCAGACTTAGACGTAAGGATGTCTCTCAGCGCTGTGCTTTGCAAGCTGATCTGTAAGTTCGATGGAATGCTCTACAGCATGTATTTGAGGGACACGGCGCCTTTGGTGGATGCAGCATGTGCCATGAAACCACATTGCACAGCGTGGGCTCAACACGCTTAGCCCACCGTAGCCCACCGAGCCCCGCCCCGGCTGTCAACGTTGCACCGCAAGGCTCCTTGTGCTTACGGCTGCTTGCAGCTCGCGGCTGACAGCATTAAGTGAGGAGGATGATGGACCGCCTATCCAGCTGGGCGGCAACCGTGACAGAGGTCGTCCGTCAGTAAATGTAACTACTTGAGAATTTGAAAATTTCTTGCGTGGCAGGCTCTAGCTGACAAAGAAAATGCGGCTTCTGCATGGGGGCATTTTGAGACTTATGTGGATTCATTGGATCAAGGCAGGGCAAGCTCCTGCTTCGGCGAACTGTTAGCTTGGATTGTGTGCTGCACTGACTACTACGTGTTGTGAGCCCTTGAACTCATCGACAGGCCTTCTTGCACTGGCAGCACTACTTGTAGGCGTGTGGCATTCCGTAAAGCACATCTCTTTGTTTCCCTTTTTCTCTTTTCCGCCTCCAGGTGCTGCTTTGGTTGCACGTGGCTTTGCCATCATGAAGCCCTTCGCTGCAGCTGCCTCAGCTGGGGTCTCTGAGCTAAGCACTCATTCTGACTCTTCTGCCATATGTACGATGTACGATTTAATGCTCTCTCTCTCTAAACTAATATTTCCGATTTCCACGGGCCCTCTGAAGAGCTTTGAAGAGCCAAGGTGCTGATCTTCTCCAGTGGCCTGGCATTGCACACATGTCTTGTCGCGATGCGCGAAGGCGCGCGCGGCTCGAGTGACATCAAAGTGGCAGCCTGGGCAAGCTGCAAGTTGAACAATTGGGAGTTTGAAGGACAAGGCCTTGCCGGCAGTGTGTCCGCCATCGTAGTCGGGCTCTGTGGGCACCTCGCAGATCCAAGGATGCGCAGGGCTCTTCTGTTGTTCTTTTCTTGAGGTGGCTTGGTTTTCGCGCACCGCATTTACCCGCTCGTTGTCTTCTTTCTTGGGTGCTTGCTGGGAGGCAGGCAAGTGCAGTCCACAAAGAAGTACCAAGCATGGTAGCAGCATGACAGGGGGCCTCACCTTTGCTTTGCGCGGGGCGGTCGGCCTCGCCGGCTCTCCAGCCGCGCTGATTGGCCTGATGATGCTCGTCTCTGTCCTCGCTGGCCTTGCGAGGGGCCCAGTCTTCTCCCCAAAATCCCAGGGTCCCAGAGCATGCTGCATAAATTGGCAGCATACTTTGAGCTGTCTCTTACCTCTCGCATGTCAAGCGTGTCGCGACACCTAGGTTATGAGCAACTTGGCCAGATTATGAGCCAGACTCACGCGTTGCCAGGCAAGTAGGCGGTGTGCCTCGTCGGCTTGCTGCAAACGAACATGCAAAATTGCCTTTCCTGCCCTGCTCAGAACACCTTCGGATCTTGAGCTGGCGCGTGCTGACGCCCCTGGCTGGTGGCGTGCTCGCCGCGGCCAGTGTGCGCTTTTGGGTTCCTCGGCTGAAGTTGCCGTGTTTTTCTGTTGAGCTGCAGTCATGTGCTGCTTGCGAAAAGTAGGATGACATACTGATGGCAAATGTGATGCGTGTAGCCGTGAACAGCACAGCATGCAAGATGCCCTACACTGCAAGCGTCCATGAATAAGATTAGCCCAGCTACCTAGCAAGATGTTCTTGTCACAGACGACGGGAACATTACTGCATCGAACCTCGAGGTATAGTAGACCAGACGCGCCTGAAGTTTACAACTTCCATGAAGTTTGCAAAGGCCTCTCGAATCAGCTTGAGCCGGGTAAGTTCGGTCCGCTAGCTACCACAAAACGTAGTTTAGCCAAGCGCACCGCGCGCCTCATTACCAGAAGCCATGGCTCGTTACCGAGCTCTGCTTTGCCTCTTGCTGGCCGTGGCTTTGTGCTGCGCACTCAACGCCACGATTCTCTACAGGGGTCAGCCGGGCTAAATACGTGTCAAGGTAAGCAGGTGCATGATGGCTTCTGCGAATTCTGCTAAGATTGCCTCTATTATGAGATTGATATTTGAAGCATTACTGCTAGCCTATGATCACCGTCGCCCGTAGTGTTTTTATTTTCACTCTTTTTATTGGTCATTCTTCCCTGTAGCCTTGTTTGGTTTGTCAGGTGGCGTTTGGCGTGCTTACTTTCTTCCGACGGAGGATGTCTGGGATTCTATCCATGCACACGGCAAGGGATTGGCTGGAGGCCCCCGACCAGAACCATTCTGTAACAGGGTTAACATTGTTCAGTCTTATTTACAACAATAATTTGCATATTCCTTTTCTGCGACTGTCGCAGTACCCAAGGCATCTGGCAGTACAACCAATCCAAGCTAGAAAGCTCGACCATGATGCTCGGTCTTCAGCTGGAAGACTTGTCGTGTTTCCTGGTTTGCGTACTGTTTTTGTGGGGAGGGAGTGGGCGACGGGTGACCAAAGGATGAAGTACCTATCTTCGAAATCTTACGAGTCAATCTGGGATGTCTCTTGCAATGTCGGATTTATGCTATCGAGCTTATTGTCGAAACATCCATCTGCGAAGCATTTCGGCACCGACATAAGCAACGTTATGGTCGAAAGCACGCGGCAGAATTGCCCCAGCTGTGTTGCAGCGCAGTTTGACTTGGGGAACCTCCGACATCCAGGGATCGCTGCGCAGGAAGTAGTCCATGAAGCATGGCACCGCGAGGACGTGCCTCGTTCCTTCGATGTCATACTGGTTTCTGACGTGCTCCTCTTCATACGCTGGGGTGGCATCCCGCCTGTCTTGCTACGATGCGACTGCTGCTGCTCGATATTCAGGAAGTGGGCAGTGCCCTCGCAGAAAGCGTTCATGGAGAACATTGCCAGTCTGGCGCACGACGAGGTCGTGTTCTCCTACAATCAGGGAAACCTGATCGTGGTCACAATGATGCAGGAGCTGGGGGTTAAGTTTGACGACCAATACAAGATCTGGAGGGTGCCAGGCACTGCCAAGCAAGGGAGATATTTGCTCAGTCATCAGAAGTCTGGCTTGCGGAGTGGACTGAGCGGTGTGGCCTAGCGCCGACGGGAAGTCGGGTGAAGCTTAGTGAGACCTATGCTGAGTTGCAAGCAATCAGTGCCAGCGAGGTGCTGAGGCCTTCGAGCAGGAACTTGCAAAATGGATTGGGCCTGCTTTTGCTTGCTGCCTTCCTGCGTGTAACGGGGTAGGTGGGTGCAGCGCCTCCCTTTTCCTTAAATGCGATCCATGTGTGGTGCTATTGTAAGTTGCCATGATGGTAGAAAAGGTTTGGGAGGTGTCCTTGGTAGTTGTGCCTTGCGCTTTGGGCAAATCATGGTTCCGAGCGAAACTGGCCCATTGAACGCCACACTTCCAGCATGCCCGAGACAGAAACTCACTACAAAATCTTCAGCTCACCTGTTACGTGCTACACCTGTTGCATCTCCGTTGTTGCAGAGGTGTTGCGGTTGCTTGCAACTAGCGGAAGTACTCGCATGCTTGCATGATTGAGATGGTTGAGGGGTGTTGTGCAACATGGGTTTGGCGCCGCCAGCTATTCTGCTTTCGAATGCTTTGGCCGCCCAGGTAGTCGAAATTTTTGCTGCGGGAGCTGGAGATTCTCAGCTGCACCACAAAAGCGAACCACCCCAAAACCGTGTGATCCCAAGCGTCTCGTATTGCTATCCTCATGATAATTTGCCCTGCAAAGAGTACGACTGATATTACATGCAGTTAGACCTGTGAAGACAAGGGACAGTCAATCTTTTCGACTGAGGCAAAGTGGTTGGACTTCACAAAGATTTCCATCCATCCAGCCGACGTGGTGACGGACCCTCTTGTTCCTCAGTTGCACAGATGGCCATGTAAACGTCCCAACATGGTGAGACTATGTGAGACTGAGGAAGTCTTCTTCGTAGTTTTCTGGGGTGTTTCTGCCTGCTTGGGATGGCCGCCTGGCAGAAGTTTGCCCCCAATCTTTTTGTGTCGCTGGGTTCTGGCGGCCAAGGTATGCGCAGCTTCTTGCTGTGGCTGCTGGCATTGACCCGCTGGCCTTGCCGGATGGCGTGGCCTTCCGTTTGCAACAGTTGCCTGGAAGCATTTCCTGATCGCCCAGCCTTCTACAGAGATTAAAGGGAACCCTTTATACCAATCTTTCGGTTGGAATTTGTGGAGAAGCATTTCCAGCAACTGCAGATCAGCCCCACATGCAGCAGCACGTAGGAGATTCAAGCGCCATCGAAGGCTGTGTGGCAACTGAGGTTGGAGAGGTTCTGCCCATGGTTTTTCGACAACGGTGAGGTGTCATGCAGCTGATTGCCTGGGTTTGTTCTTTGCACGCGCTTGGATGTGAAGGAGTTCTCCACCAAGATCCTGCCTCGAAGGCTGGTGCAGGAGAGCACGCCTTTCCTTGCCGAAGATACTGAAATGGATGACTTGGCTGCAGCTTGGCCCATCAGGATGGCACGGTGCTTGAGTCATGTCGTGTTTTGGAGTCCCAGGCCGCAAAGAAAGACTACAAGCCAGAAGGGGTGCTTGCGGCAATGGTTTTCAGCGTGCTGCTGTTGAACTTCTTCATGATTGGCTGCCTGGCTCCACATGACCTTGCACATTGACTTGGTCGCAGGAGGTAGAGATCTGCAGTGCTGAGTTCAATTGAGGTAAGCCGCTGCTCTTCCTTGGACACGTGGTTCTCATGTCTGCGGCCTTCCAGACATTCATGCTACTTGCCTGCTGAACTGCAAGCAATACTGGGCGAGTACCCGGTTCACTTCAGCAAAGCTTTCACTCCTGGCTCTCCTAGACAAGTTGAATACACGTTCTGTCAGCTTTGCACCGGTTCTCTTCCAGCATGTGTAATCAAAAAGTTTCTTGCAAGAGTCCGACCCCTTAACTCGCAAGAGGGCCACTTTGGGGCCGGCCGGCACACATAGAGTTGCTGATCTGAGGACAGCTGGTCTCATGAGCTACGCTTCCCCAAACCGCATGCTGCCCGGCCTGTCGGGATCCAACTCACCCTTGCTGCGCCACTTCACTCACGCGACCTTCAACATCTTGGCTCCTAGGCTGACTTTAAGGACAGTTCATTGAGTTATAACTCGTGTGCCAGTTGGTAGCTTTGGTGTCTGAGGTTCTCTTTTGCGCCATTGGTGGCTTTCTGTGCATCTACGGGTGCTGCGTAGTAGGGATTTCATGATGTCCGGCAAGAAGGCGGAAGAAACTGGAACCCTGCAGAGGAGCCGTCTCTTAGCCAACAAGTCACAAGTTGGCCTTTCACCTGGTGGCTCCTGGGTCGGGACCTGCCCTTACCTCCCATGCTTAGCTTTGAGAATCTTTAAAGGCATGTCGTAGTCTGAAGTAGCAAGGAGCCTGCATGTTTGGACTGGATACGCTCCTTGGCTGAATGTTCCCTGACTAGACAGTGTAATCTTGGATACATTTTTGTCGAGGTGACGCTGGCGCTCCTCTTTGTTATGACTTTCTCTGGCGCTGCCAAGATGGTTGCAGGACTTCGATTTGAGATTGTGAGTAGCCAGAGCAGCGCGAGTTAAATTGCATTGGAATTATCAGCTCCAATTCAGTTCCTCGTTCATGTAAAGGTGACGCGGTAAATGGCATGCGTAGTGCCGCGAGTTACATTGCCTCAGCTGTCCGGTTCCTAGCAGGACTTACATCTGGAAATGCCGATGATGTGGCAAAATTCCATTCTCACCTGGGCAAAACTCTCTATGCCTTTGCAGGGGCAGCTTGGCTACACGTGCAAGCATCCAAATGCCATCGAATGCCACAATAGATCCTTAGGTCCGCAAACCAACCTGAGAAGCATTCTTGAGCTAGTCAAATCACAGTGTCAATTCGGCCATGATGCCATACAGCCGGGTACGAGCTTGTAGTTCGAGTTGCTGCTGCAGTTCGAGTTGGTGCCCTGCTCAGATGTGCCAACTCCTGGGCTATTTCATGCCTGATCTGCTGCCACTTTGGGGGTCCAGCGCCTGGAGATTCTTAGGAAGGCTGAAGTCTTCTGCTCGGAAGCTAGCCTCAAGCTGACGAGGTCTGTTGTGCTGACCTTGATCCTCTTTGGATCAACAGCAGCCACGATTTTCTTCCTGAACAGTCGCAAACCCGAAGTCGTGAGGCGAATGAAGAGGCAAGAAGTGAGTACACCAGCTATGCAAGAAGACAAGAACATGTGGCGGACCTGGCCTGTGAGGTTCACTACCGGCACGGCTGAGGACTTGACTTGGGAACCCGCTCGCGAGGTCCCAAAGATGATGAGCTCGCTATTGCGGTGGGTTTCAGGGAACTGGGGGAAGACGAGGTGGACAAAAATGGCTTGGTGGGGAGGCTAGACTGCGGCCAGAGCTTGGGTTTGTGGGGGGGGTTCCCGCGAACAGCCTGTTTTTGACGGGTTCTGGGGTCATCCGGGCGCTTTTGGGTCCTCATTTGAGGGGCGACGGCTGACAGAACGTGGCGCCCACAGTGTTGTTCCAGGAGCTTTTCTTGGCTGAAACGTGCGCAATTAGACTTTGTTGGGGAGTCTCAGTCTGCCGTGCATCCATGCAGACCACAGTTCCTTGGCAGTACTTTTGGCTTCTACATGTGCATGATTCTGTTAGATCTGACGTGAATTTGAAAGCACGAAAAAAGCACCTCACAGGTCACGAAAGCTCCTCATGAGAGGGAGCCAAACCTAGCGAGCTCGGAAGCCGGGGGGGTTCTGGGGGACTGCGGGTAAGGTACAGGGGTGGATAAGAATGGCCTGGTTTGGGAGGCCAGACTGCACCAGGGCTGGGATATGCGGGGGCGCCCTAGGCGGTCTTTTTCAGACGGAGTTTGGATCCTGATTTTGGGGGTGCTGGCGAGCGGGAAGGCGGCGCCCACAGTGCTGCTCAAGGAGTTCTGTGTGGCTCAAACGTGCCCGGTTGGGGCTTTCTTTCCACTGCAAGAACAGTGAGTGCTGAGCTTTCGTTTCTGCTGCTGGCCTGCTGGCTCTCAAGCTTTCTGAGATCCTGGGACCAGGCACCGCTCACACTGGACAAGCCACCGTACCGCCCATCCTTCTCGAGCTCCCTGGCGGCAAAGCTGTGCGTCATGAAGAGCCGTTGCTCGGTATGCCGCAGGCACGGCAACTACTCGCATCGAGAGTTTGCGAAGCATCACGCGCAATTCCTCCATCACCAGTATGGGAGCAGGTGTTGAGTGTGAGAGAGGCAAATGGATTGAAGGATTTGATTTGCCACAGGCGTGATGACTGGACTGCTCGGACGCCACGGCAGCACCTGTGCTGACAACAGTTTCCGCGATAGGTGTGTTGGACGGGTGGTGTGTGCGCTTGAATTCCGTTTCCAAGTGCGAGGCCGAACCAAGAACTTTGACTGGGATGCCGTTTTGGAGGCCTTTGAGGTACAGGACCGCAAGGCCACCGTGTCGCTATACTTCACGCGCTGGCACAGGCCGCAGCTGCAAAATCTGTCGATCTCCTTGTGCCATACGAACAGCAGGAAGGCTAGGCGGCTAGACCTCTACCTGTGATCGAGGCACACGCAGTCCAGCATGATTGCAAAAGCACAAGCAGACGCTGAGCTGCATCATCTCTGCTGTTGGTCTTGCACCAGATAAGACAGATAGGTGACATGGGGCGCAACTCTGAAGCACCAAATGTGTCCACACTTCCAGGAACTCCAGGGATCCAACAACCTTGTGAACTTCTTATCCTCTGCCCTTGTGCTGGCCACAGGTCTTTCACAACATAGTTACCTGAATTCATGTTGACCACATGTTGCTCATGGACAGTAAGGTCGGGCCTGAACGTGGCGAGCCGTGACCTCCTGGGTCAGTTCAGCTTGTGACCCTGCATGTGATGAGGGACCTTCAGAGCCTATAGAGTGGCATTCCAGCTCCTGACAACCTCCTGCCTGATGACATCCAAGCTGCCCCAAAGACTTGCACTACTGTATGGATGGATGTCCGGAAAGCTTTGCCAATGCCCAGCTGCTTTGAGCTCTTATCGGTTTTCCTTCGGCATGGCCTTTGCAAAAGGCAGGGCTTGAAATTAAGACCGG